CTCGAGAGAAGTTTGACAATCTCAACATTTAATTCCTCCTCTGTTTTATAAACAATTAAGTCATTTTTAGTTTTTAAAATTAATAATTCAATTAGGCCTTTAAAGGATTAACTTCTCTGTTATTTTTTTCAACAAAAATAAGCTACATAGATAGCAATTGAGAATTATTATTGGTGTTCTTGTTAAATGTCATGAACAACTATGCATCGGAGCTTGTCGATAAGGACAAACATGTAAATTGCGCTCTCCAGTCTTATTTAATGAGGGTATTCACAGCAGTCTTGCCCCCCATTAGTTCATCTCTGTCCCGATCATGGCAATACAAGTCTAGTCCGTCCCTAAAAAAATCGAGATGAAACGGTCAACAGGACATGAGTTCAATACTTCACTTTAGACTTGCGGCTGTTGTGACTCAATAATTAAATTTAAGTCGTGTACTTGTGATTTATAGTTGTTTACTTGTATTGTTTGGCACTTAAGAAATTATATAATTTGATAAGTTTAGTGTTAGACGTATGTTGTATTTTTCTCTCTCTTTTGGTTGATTAGTTTATATATATATATATATATATATTATAAGGAGTAAACTCTATCAATAACAAAAAATATCTCCTCTAAAATTGAAGGCAAAAGGTAGATATTCTCGAACCAAATTGCTACATATATCAAGGCTGGGATTCAAGCCTTCAACCATAGGTGTAAATGACAAGAGTCACTACTATTCAAATCAAGTTGGTTACTTAATTCCTACTTTTCTAACTCTCTGTTACTCTTTATTTCCTTTACCTTGATTTCCTCCCTCCCAAGACCCTTACTATTTATACGGTGCTGTGTGTTGCTTTATTTGTTAAAAAATACTCTAACTTTTCAATTATATCATTTTTAAGAATAGGGAGTAATTGTCTAGAAATAGGGAGAAAGAATAAATGGATAAGATTAGTGAAAAGACACATCTTAACTCAATCTCAAGGCTTAAATTTATGAGTCCTTCCTCTTTATTAGTAAAAAAAATCTCATATAAGGCCATAATAAAAACAATTTCACTACATGAAGGGTCCAAAGGAATATGAAGTTATTCCGCAGGCCTAAGGGCCGTTCACATGATTAAAATTTATGTTGAAATGTCATAAATTTTCCTACCACTTTTTTTTTAAAAAAATAATGTGTCACCATTGCCAGCCATCCTAGCCACTACGCTGGCTACCGAAGCCCTATCATCGATAGGGAGGCCACCACTGTCAGTGGCCAGAACTCTGACATAAACATTGGTGGTCAAATCCAGTCAAAGAAAGCGAAGGGGCCAAGGGAGGATTTGAACCCTTGATGTTGCAAAACATGAGTCACCACTAAACTATCAAAGTCATTTAATAATGTATTACAAAATATAATACATGTTATAGTTTTTGTTCTCAAGCATTAATATGAGTTGCTATTAATCATGGACATATTGTTGTTCATATTCGAACAATTACTTGTAAATATGTGAATATGACTTGTTCATATATAAAAAAAGTTGTCAATTTTCAAAATTCAACTTTTAACTTTTTTAACTTGTTCCTGCAATATTGACAGGTTATTAATATTATACTAATTTATATATATATATATATATATACAAATTTATTTTTCAAGCATTTTTATGAGTTATGGTTGATCATGGGCATATTATTATTAATTTTTGAACAATCACTTATAAATATGTGAATATGACTTGTTCATACATAAAGTTGTCGATTTTTAAACCTAACTTTTTGGTTTTTTTTTTAGAACATATTCATTTAACATTGACAAGTAAATAAAATGTGTGTTATAAATTTATTTTTTTAAGCATTTTTATGGGCTATAGTTAATTGTGAACATATTATTGTTCATGTTAGAGTAGTCATTTGTAAATACTCAAACATGACTTGTTTATTCATAAAAAAGTTATCAAATTTTTAAACCCAACTTTTTTATTTTTTTTTAGAACTTATTCATTCAACATTAACAGGTAAATAGTGTGTGTGTGTGTGTGTTATAAATTTATTTTCAAGCATTTTCCTCTAATGTGGTTAATCATAAACACGTTATTGTTCATGTCAAAATAATCACTTGTAAATACTCAAATATGACTTGTTTATTCATAAAAAAGTCATCAATTTATAAGTGATTGTTCAAAATTAAACAATAATATGTCTATGATCAACCACAGCATATAAAAATGCTTGAAAAATAAAATTATAATGTGTGTGCGTGTGTGCATGTTATTTGGCATAATATTGATAATTTGTCAATGTTGAAGGAACAAATTGTTAAAAAAAAAATTGAACAAGTTGGATTTTAAATGTGAGTTATTTGGCATAATATTAATAACCTGTCAATATTGAAGGAACAAGTTATTTAAAAAAATTGAACAAGTTAGATTTTAAAAGTTGACAGCTTTTTTTATATGTGAATAAATAATATTCACTTATTTACAAGTGATTGTTCGGATATGAATAATAAATATATTTATGATTAACAGCAACTTATATTAATGCTTGAAAATAAAAATTATAACACACACTAGGGTTGTGCAAAAGTCCTCTAGTCCAGTGCAGGCTGGTCCAACCCAAGACAAGTTTGTTCCTATTCAATACAAATAAAAACTAGTCTTTTAAGATCAAAAAGACCAAATAGACTAGACTCTTTCTTCAGGTTGGATTGGACAAGAGATTAACATCTGGACCACTTGGTTCAGTTCGATCCAAAAAATTTATTTAATATAATTATAATTAATTTATTAATTATTATTATGATAATTTAATTTGTAATAATAATTAGTATTTTTTTGGTTTTATAATTGTAAAGCCATGAATATTGAGTAAAATTCTAACATTGACTAACCTCAGTCTTTTCTTTTGATTAGTGAAATTTGTTGTTAACTTGGTGTAATGGATTTTAGACATGTTGAAGGTTGTTTAATGTTGTTGAAGGTTGTTTAATTTGAATAATTTGTGTTGTAACTAAAATATTTTTTGTTATTGTTAGAAATTGTTGTGAATTTATAATTGTTATTATTGTGATAAATTTTATATGACTATAAGTAATTTTATTATGTTAATTGAGTTTATTATATTAAAATAAATTGCTACCTCTCATAGATGAAAAAGGGAAAAAAAAAGTGAGATACTGGACAAGACCGGGACCAGTCTCCTAATCCTACTGGACCAATCCGATCATGTTCAACTTCGGGTTATACTAGGACCAAACCAGACCACGGGTTACTTAGTTCAGTCCTTTTTATAAAAAAAGACTAGACTTCAGGTTAGATCGAAGTCCTGTCAGGTCAGTCTTTTATGCAGTCTTAACATATACATACACACGCATTATATTTTGTAATATATTATTAGATAGCTTTAGTATTTCAATAGTGAACTATCTTTAGCAACACCAAAAGGTCAAGGATTCAAATCCTCCCTTGACCCCTTGGCCCTCTTTGACCGGATTTGACCACTGGTGCTGACAACGAAGCTTTGGCCATTGGCGGTGGCTGATTATGGCATGCTTGCTAGCGATGAAGCTCCAATAGTCGATGTGGTGGCTCTAACAACCGACAATGGTGACACTTTTTTTTAAGAAAATAGAGAGGCAAGGGCATTTATGACATTTCAATGAAAATTTTAATTAGGAAAAATAACAATAAAATCTCTCCAAATTATACAAATGACTATTCAATCCCTCAAAATATCATAATATCAATGAAGTCCATAGGGACCTCTTTTGTCAATAACTTTTTTTTAGGAAAAAATCATTGTACTCTTTTGTCAATTATTGCAATTTTTTGAAGAAAAATGGTGATTCTTTAAATAGAAGTTGCGAATTGAATTTGTTATTTGAAGAACTTATTTTTCAATAATAGAAATTGCATTTGAAAAATTATAATTTTTTATTCAACTTTTGTAATTCACAAAACACAAATTATTATTCCTTAAACAAAAATTATGATTGGAGCTTGTTTTTTAATAATATAAATTACACTTGATAAATTGTAATTTCTTATTCAACTCTTGCAATTTACAAAACAAAAATTATGATTTCTTAAATAAAAGTTGTGATTGATTCTTATTATTTTCAGTAAAGGTAAAATGGTATCTTTCCTAAAAAGTTATTGACAAAGAGGTTTTTATGAACTTCATTGATATTATGACATTTTAAAAAATGAAATTGTCATTTACATAATTCAAAGGAATTTCATTGTCATTTTTTCTTTTAATTATTTGAAGGGTCCTTGGACTTGTAGAGGAATTTCAAATTCCTTTGAACCCTCCATGCAGTTAAATTGTTTTTGAAGGCCTTATATAAGATTCTTCCTTGTTAATATTAATTATTAAACCTAATTTTATTTAATGTAAAAATTTCTATATTAATTCAAGTTCACTCACATTTAAATAGCCTAACAATAATTATTAATTAAAGAAAGATGATGAGTCTCCTAGTTATTTGTGCAAACCTTGTCTCAAGTTAAAAGGCTAAATACCTTGTACATAGAACCACTTTCTATTTTTTTAAAAAAAAACATTTTATAAATAAGACGAGACATAGAGTAGTATTCCATATCACAACCTATAAAAGTAATCCATATAACTATCTCTCTATATATAAAATATTTTTAATCAAATTTTGCATATCAATAAATGTTTGTTATTTAATTGAACTTACATAAAAACACAATGATTTTTTAATTTTACCTCTAATAATATCATAATTAATATGATGATAGTAGCAGGAAAAACATACAATTAATTATCTATTCCATTTGCCATGACAAAGGCAAAATTATTTAATTATTCAAAAATATTATTACCACTCCTTATATTTAAGGACAAAATAAACTTTTAAAAAATAGCTTATATATAAGGCAGAGTACGTTGCAACTTGCAGCAAAGCATCTTGCTTTCACATGTCACACGCAGCAGCAGCAGCAGCAGCATGTCGCAACTTGCAATCCTAATATCAATGCATTAATTGGAACACTGAAATGAATAATATTCAATGGACTATTCAACTTTGTTAATGAAAAATTTTCAATATTTACACTGGAAGGGCACAAGATTTGTTCTTGCGAATTACTATGAACATTTTTAGTTGAATAATCGTATCATTATCAACAATATATAAGCATTACCCAAGATACTCAACAAGTTCTGTGCCAATCTGTGAGACCCAATCAACAGAAGTACGAAAGAAGAGTTCCCAGAACAAGAGATCCAATGCCAAGACTGATGAAAAGATGAGCCATGCCAAAGTCTGATATCGGTTCCACGGCCAGCCTGAGACTTGAGCCATTGTCCTGAGAAACGGAAACGAACTCGTATTTAGGTTCCTTTTCTTAATGGACCATGCCGTAACCCACTGCACACGACACGGCTCGAGGTCATATTGCTCCCGTAATCTCCTCCCAAGATCAGGCATGTGACCACCCCCATAAAGTATGGCAATCTTATTGTGTCCCTCTTGGATTGCCTTTCTCAAAGAGTCTACTGCAGCTTTATTCCTCTCACCAATTATAACAGATTTCTCCTCTACATCTGCTGTCACCTCTGTTAACCTTCACAGCAATATTTTTGCATCAATGACCTAAAGAAAGGGAAGATTCAGGGATGCATCAGAAGCAAATGATGGCATATATACTTACTCAGTTGTTAGTCTCTTTGCAAGGAAGACCTTGATGGCAGCACCAAAATCAAGCCTTGACAATGCTTCTATTTCAGGATATGCTGATGCTTGACTTTCAGCATCTGCACAGACGCTTCCAATGATGACTAGGCCCACAAGTGGCATAGGAAGTACACGAGAAGCCCATAAAAGCTTGGACCTCCATGGGCCAAGATCTTCTGGAACAGAAGAAGCTGGCTGCAACATTGCTTTCGTGGATCGAAGAGTCATGTCTCTTGCAAAAGAAAAGAAGCTTTCACCTTTTTCAAGCTGAAACAAAAGGACAAGTTTTTGTCATCTGAACAATGAAAGTGAATAGAGTGCGGGTGGAAACTTTTGGTGAATGCAAAAAAGAACATGAAGATTGACAAATGAGTTCATCCCAAAACACAGGAACCAAAGATATTGAAAGCAATCTGTGCAATCCCCAATCAGTGTATTCAGAATAGCCCCCACAGTGAGAACCAGGGAAAATTAAATCAGAAAAATTAAGGTCCAACCTGAAGCAATTTGAAGGTTTCATAGTCGAGATCTGCATGGTACCAATTTGCAGACTGGTAACTGAGAGAGTCTAATTGGAAATCAAGCATGAGAATTCGAGCCATCCATCGTTGGATGCATCCCAAGATGTTAAATCCCTTAGTGCCAGAGCCTCTCACCCTTGTTTTAGGGATAGTGTTGCTTCTACTTTCTATACTTTCCCTGCTAGCTACCATTTCATAAAGTACACAATCATAGGATTGAAGTACTTTCTGGAGGGCTAGAAAATACCTGCTCGAAGAAATGAGGATCACTAAAATTAATTATTTCTCAAGATAGGGCATAAATTAAGTCAGTGCAACTAAAAATACGTGTAATGCTCAATAAATAAATTAAAAAAAGTCAAAGGCTAAAAACCAATTCTACAAATACATCACAAATACTAGGCATATCCGCTACCTTATATCATCTTTAAACATACTCCCTAGTCACTATAAAAGCTAGTAACTGGATGTCAAATGATGGAATTAGTTCAAAACAACAACAAGCCTCATTCCATAAGGTAGGGTCACTACGTGAATTGCGCAATGCTATTGTAAGCCATGATAATTTTGTTTATCCAACTCATTAAGAACTACCTGGTCATTTTGTAGTCAAATTCTAGAGGTATCTTTAAAATTCACCAATAATTGTCATGAATAATGTCACTAAAAGTGCAGAGCTAAGGGTTTGTTAGACCTGCATTTCTAAAATCATAAATCTAAATTCCTCCTCATTCAAACCGCCTAAAGTGAAACTTTTGCGGTGACATTGTTTATCTCATCACCATTTGCCAGAGATAATAAGAGAATCCTTCATCTGCCAAAACTTCAACATCTACCAATTTCCCTGACTTCGCCTCTTCCTTTATCAGCAACATGACTCTATAATTTCCCATTATTCTTCTCTGTTAGAAATGTCATATTCACTTCACTTCTCTATGTCAACCCTCAATCCAATAATCCCATTAGGATACTCAAAACTACCCAAAAAATAAAAAATAAAAAATAAATTGGGAAGTTAGACAGACTTACTCTTTATCTGCGATGTGAATTGTTGAGACTAAATCAACCTAAACCATCAGAAAGAACAAAAAATAATACACCACAAATCAGTTTATTCAAAAAAAAAAAAAAACAGAAACAGAAACAAAAACCAGCGTTGAGAAAATTAAAGGATTCAGTTCGCACCTGAAGAAAAGGGTACAAAAGGGACCACGGGAACTTCTTCCGGTAGCTCACTATAGCCGTCTGCAACTCTCCACTCCCTCCGTCGATTCCTCGCTTGAATCTCAGGAAATCCGCCATGGAAGCGTTTTGCAAGAACTTATCCGCAGACTCATTTTCTACAATTTGTTTGGAAGAAGAAGAAGTTCCAACAATCGAGGAAAAAGGCAGAGAAGTAAAGAGTGAAGAGACTTGAAGTGGCCTAATGAATTTAAGGCATCGTCTAGAAGAATCGATGGCCCTGATTCTAGTGGGAGAGGAAGTAGAAGGGGAATCGAGGTTGGAAATGGAAGGGAAAGAAGATGAAGAAGGGATTATAGAAAACGAACTTAGCGCCATTGTTGTTCTCTCTTCAAAGGTAAGAGAGAAAAATGGGGGCGTATGGATAGCCAGAAAAAAGAGATTTTTATTCGGTCCTCGAAGTCGAAGATCCTTTCCCCCATAAATTACTCTGATTGAGGTTAACACAATAACACCGCTTATTTGGGTTCATTAGGCAAATCTAGTAGCTCTTGAAAACTTCTGGCTTGTGCGCAACGTCTCGGCTCATCCAATAATTAAAGATTTTGGGACCAGGATACGATTGTGCTTTCAGATTTCTGCTAAAGTTAATTTCTTGGGACAATTTATAGGTAGGACTATTTCAAAACATGAAACTTTTCATTTTCAATTTCAAACACCTTCTCTCAACAAACTTAACGACCTTTTAGTTGACGAACTTTTTTTTGTTTTGTTTTGGGAATTCTTAAATTGAAGTGAACTTTCAAGTTTCAACCACATCCTCTCAATATTGATAATGAAAAAAAGTAAATAATTAAAAATGGCGATGTTTTTTTTTTTTATTTATTATGACTCATTTGCATATTGGTGTCCCCATTCCCCCCCCCCCCCCAAAATTTGATTCCAACCAAAACTCTCTCGCTTACACAGTATCTCCTCTTCAAAAATAAAAATAAAAAAGGCAGATAAAACAATTTAATTGACGGTTCATCATATATTAATATAAACAATTAGTTGATTTTTTAAATTAAAGAGGCAGACACTAACTATTTAATATTACAAACCAAGTCCAACTCACAACTTGTTTATAAAAAAAGTTTACATGTTTTCACCCCCAAAAAAAGAGAGAACTTGCGTGTTACAGGGCCCAAAAGCCATTGGCAGATTGTAGGTTTATTTTTTAAATTAGAGAAGCAGACACTAACAATTTAAGATTAAAAATTAAGTCAAACCCACAACCTATTTATATGAGAATTTACATGTTTTCAGCTGAAAAAGAGAGGGAGAACTTGCATATTATAGGGCTAATTAATTAATAAATTCATTATCATTATCATTATTTCTTTTATTTTTTCATTTTTTATTAATTAAATTAATAAAAAATAAAAATCGAAATAAAATTGAAAATTCATTTGTTAGTATTAAAAAATTCAGAATAGAATTCTAATAATAGAATATATTAATAATAATATTAACTTACTTTTTATTAATTTAATTCACAAAAATAAAAAATACAATTATCTAAAAGAACAAAATGTTTGTTATGCTTAATATCTTTAGTTTGGTCTAAATTTCAAAATTTAATTTATTGAATTTGATAATAAAAAAATATTTTATTAAAATTTTGAATTCTAATTCTATTTTTTTATTTTTTTTAAGTTTAAGAATAAGAATATTTTGAATCTCCATTTTTTAAAAAATAAATAGAATAAAAATAGAATATTAATTATATTCCTACAATAACGAGTTAGTTTGAATTTTTTTATACTTCTTTACTTTGAAAATTTTCCATTCACATGGAAGGAGAAAAATATGAATTATTATGTATCAATGGAATCATTGACTATTCATAATTTCAAAATTTGATCAATTGCATGCCGGCAAGCCATTGACAGATTGTAGGTTCATTGCTAATGAATCTTATAATTTTCTTTGAATTTTATATTCAGATAGTGAGAGATTGAAATTTTGAGTGACTCATCATGTAAAAAATACATCCATTTTAATATATTAATTAATATTAATAGAATATAGTAAAATAACCATAGTATTAAAAACCAAGTCTCAGCTTGTTAAATTAATAAATTATTGAATTATTGTCTCGACAATAATATGCTTTGTTTATGATCACAATTTGACCATAATTTTAACTATTAACCCTTAAACTAATATCTTGATTGATTTAATAACAGGTTCAATTTTCAATACTTTGAAGATAATGGAGGAGAAAAAAGGTACTCATATATAGAGCAGAGAGTAAAGGTCAGGCTTAAAGGCCTGTTTAAATAAAGTTCGAGTTTTGAAAATTAAATTTTATTTAAAGTAACCGGACTTAAGAACCTGACCCTGATAAGCTTTATAAAAAAGGCTTGAGCCTAAATGACCCTTCAAGCCTTGTTATATTATTAATAATTTTTTCTTTGGTAGAACATGCATTTGAAGTTAAGAAAACTTGCTCACCTGAAATCCAAATCTTACACGCATTATATTATTATTAATTTTAATTTATTTTAAAATTAATTTAATAAATATTAATATACAGTATAAAATTTTTAATATTTTTTATTTTTTATAATTATTATATTTGTGTATTTATAAAATAAATGAACTTTTTTTAATAAGGATTTGAATTTTCTTACTCAACTTCTAAATGTTTATTGCTTAATTTTTAAAAAATTATAAAATTTTTTTAACTTTAAAATATTTTAATTAATTTATAGTACTTAATTTTATTTTAATTTTTTTAAAATAAAGCTTACTAACCCTCTTTTAAGTCCTTCAGATAAAAGTCGCACTTTAAAAAAAAAGTGAAAAATAAAAAATCGAACATGCTTTTAAGGGCTAGGCCCATAAGGGCCGGCCCTGCCCATTCTCATAGCTCTACGCGCACATGAACACACATTGAAATAAAACTAGGCTTGGAGCGCCGTTTTTCGTAGCTCTACCTGCACATGAACACACATTGAAATAAAACCAGGCTTGGAGGGAAAATTATCTTTGGTCAAGAGGAAACTTTTGTTGAATTTTCCGAGTAAGCACAAACAACGAGGGATTTATTGCTCACTTGAAAAAATAAATAAGTTACAAAGAATACAATGAAAGATGAAAATAAACCAAACGGCATAATAAGCCCAGCCTATATACTACAAACATAGTAATCTATTACAGACCTAGAGATACAAAAGAATTTCCAGAATCCAATTAATTGCAAGCATTGACGTATGCTGAAATATTTCTCTTCAAGATGCCCAATCAGATGGCAAAAATAATGTCACTTACTGTGATAATATCCGAAGTCCAGCTTCTAAATCTACCATTGTGATGGTGAGAAGTTCTTCTGTGTCTATACAATCAAAGCTAAGCCTGAGATCCAAATTTTCTCTAGCATTGACCAACATTGTATCTACCAAACCACCATTCATTTCCTTGCGTTGCTTTTCTGTAGTTTCCTTTTCTATCATTGCTGCTACAGCTTCTACACTGCATGAGTTATGCAACTTGAATCCATAAAGCAAACCTTCTACTGCTTGATTTTTCATCTTGATGTGAAGTATTTCGGCTAGTTCATCCGAATTGAAATCGTTAAAATGGAAAAACTTGGTCACCCGCCTACAGAATCCTTCATTTGAAGCGATCACTCGCTTCATTGGTTCGCTGTATCCAGCAAATATAACCACAATTTTTCCACTGTCCATGACAGACATAATCTCCTCTAAGGCTTCCAATCCATAGTCTTTGTCGTCTGCCTTCTGCATCGGTATTAGCCTATAAGCTTCATCGACAAATAGAATTCCCCCTTCTGCTTCTTGTATCTGTGTAAAATTTGTCTAACTTGTTAAGCAAGGCGACTGGGCTTCTAGAAGTATGTGAAGAAGGATTTCAAAGCCTAGCAACATACCTTTCTCCTGGTCTTTGGACCAGTATGACCAACAAACTCTCCGACCAAATCAGTTCGTTGTACCTCAGTCACTTTATCACTTGGTAGAATTCCCACCATGTGGAGTAATTTACCAAGGATCCGAGCTACCATTGTTTTACCTGTAGAATATAACAATCAACTTCAATGACTACAGAAAATAGTACAAAGAAAAATGAAATATAACTAAGTGCAATTTTCATAAAGGAGAAGCCATCATCCATGATTAAAAGTTGCAAGGCTAGTTTAAACATGGAATTGAGGAGAAAGGGTTAACATGGCATACTATATCATGGACCAAATGAAAGAACAAGGAGATATATATAAATATATATATTCTGGTTAAGATATATTTCCAACACAGGTTACATACAAATAACTACGTTTCAGAAAAATCTCTAATGAATAACCTGTTCCAGGATTGCCAAGGAAGGCCATATGTGGAGGTCTTCTGGGGCCAACTTGCAGACCAAGTGCTCTACGTCTCTCATCCAAAAGCATGCCCTTTGCCCACTTTCGCAATTGTACTTTCAAATCATGTAGCCCCACAACATTTGAAATTTCATTTTCAAGCTCATCCATTTTTGCTTTGGATTCACTGCATGCTTCAATAGCTCGTCTCCTCCTCTGTTCTTCAAGATGCTGCCGTAAAAGTTCCCTAAGTTTCTTACTTTCAGGGCCTTGAGAAAGATGGTTTAAAGGAGTCATTCCCTCCTGCAATTCATAGCTTTGAGAATCAATCAAAATCTTCCAGAAAATGAACAGATAACTTTAAAACATCAAGGCACATTTAATAGTAATACATTGTCCTTAGCACTGCAATCAGCATTGTATTCAAGCAATGTTTTCACAGTTAAGCATTCTTCGGCCCGTAGAGAGTACCAAACAGCAAGATGTAGAGGCGTCATACCATTCTGCAAGAACAAGTTAGAGAAAAAAAAAAAACTCAGATAGAGCATTGAAACAATTCATTCTTGCTTTTAAGCATTATGCTTTGCACAAAATTCTAAGAAAAAAGGGACAGAATAAAGAAAGATGAAAAAAGGATATGGCAAGCAGCTCAAGACCAAGCCACAGCTTATGCAGCTCAAGAATTATCTTTCTACAGTAACATTCCCTTGTAGACTTCTAGTGTGCGTGTGTGTGTTAAATAACAAGGGAGGTGAAAAGAAAATTCACATTTGCTTTAGCTTCAATAAAAGCACCATGAGCAAGAAGTAACTTCGTCGCTTCATTGCATCCATTCTTTGCTGCCATGTGCAAGGGTGTCTCTCCATACTACAAAAACAACGCAGAAAAAACATATTTAGAATTCGGATAAAATTTCCTTATGGTCAAGATTACATAAAGCTTAACATTTTAACAAGGGCAAACATTATTTAGTTCCTACCATATTCTTTGCCTCCAACTCAACTCTATCAGGTCCTTGCCAATTGAGAAGAAATTTAACTATATCAGCCCTATTGTGGCCAGCAGAAACATGAAGAGGAGTCTGAGCCATCTGCATTTAAAATAGGTTAGATCATCAGACATGAAATACAACGACGACAAGAGAAGCCATATGGAATCCTATAAAATTGAAATCATCATATAATCAAGCAATGAAGTTTCACCCTACAAGCCAAGCTTCAGGGTTTTCCAAATTTTATTACAAAAAGATTCAAAATAATAGAACTTAAGGAATTACAGAAAGTTTAGTGCATGAATTTAAACAAAGCTCCACACCGCATACAGCTGACTCAACTTTGGTCAAAATATGCTGCCCCAAGTAGTTTGTAATCAACATCATCAATGTTCAAAGCATGTTCAACACGCAAAGCATTATGCTCATCTTACGTTTTCCTTTTGATTCTTAATCTTGCTGGCAAATTCAGCAAGAAAACACAGAAGAATTTTAACAATACTAAGCCTGCATCAGAAATTATAACCAAGGGCATACAAGGAACCGCATCCAAATTTTCAATACCCTCTAGACTTTCATACACTACCAAGTAGATCTGAATTAATTTGTACAGTAAATCCTCAACTCACACAAAAGCAAGCGTTACAGATAACAACAACAAAAAATCTCTTTAATCCAGGATACTGATGCAATGGGAAAACAGAAATCTTTAGTCCAAAAAGAAAAATGGGGAATGATGGAAGAGCAATGAAGGATGAGATCTCACAACAGGGTTTCTCTCGTTGAGAAGAGAAGGGTTGCCTCGAAGTAGCCGCTGGAAGGCAACAAGGTCCCCAGATTGAGCGTATGCATGGATGGTGGCCGGTTTAGCAGATCTTGGCCGTTGATCCTGAGACTTGTTCATCCTGAATCCGAAGGAACAACGGCTGCTAGAAAGAAATGGGGAATGCAAGAGAAAGAGAAAAAAAAGTCAAAAGAAAATTTGGATTCTGCTTTTGAATCTTGGGGTGTGAGTCTTCGGACGCAAGTGTGAGAGAATAAGGCAGAGGATATCCAAAATCACCCCCGCGTCCGACTCTCGCGTGTCAAATCTTATTCACACTACTTTCTCGGCCTATATGGCCATCGTCTCTCTTTAACATTCGTTCCATTTCTGTATCACAGGAAGCATTTTGACTATTATGTACTCGTCGTCCTCCTTCGTCCACAGATCAAATAGACGCTGGACACAGCTGGATGGCGAACGGACTCGCTCTTATAACCGCCCACTTTGCAATTATTCAATTTAATATATTATATTTCATTGAAGGGTCTTTGGATGGGTTCGGATCCCCTCCTCATCCACTCTCCTTTTCTTCTGTTCATCTCATCTATTCCCTTAAATAATTAAGTCAATGATTCAGATTTAATTATTTTTTTACCAACAGATTTAATTATGTTGTAAAATAATTATCTTATAAAAAATAAATAAATTTAAATTGTTAAAATTTAACAGGTACAATTCACAGATGTGTATCATTTATTAAAAAAAATTTCATTTAAAAATTTTTATTTATTTATTTTATTGCAATTATAAATTGTCCAGTTAAATTTTAACAGTTTAATTAGTTGAGGCTGAGGGAGTTCAATTAGCTTATACTGTAGTCTCAAGTTTGAGTTTAGAAATATACAATTATGTTAAATAACTATGATAAAAATATGTTTAAAGTGAAGAGAAGAAAAAAAAAATCCTCACGGGAGGAATGCACGGAGAATGCATCGCTGCGAGAATCTGCTTTCATGTGGGGATATAGTGAAAAACTTTGTTTTCATAATGAGCTTGCTTTATATACAATACCAAAAGATTTTATTTAACATATTAATATTTAAAGACTTTGCTTGATATAAGTTAAAATGTATAAAACTTTTATAAACTTTGAAACAGTTGCATATATTTTTTTCATCTTTAAAAATTTAAAATTAACCTCCCTAACATTTAGTTTTATTTTTTAAAATCTCCTATTATTAATTATGTTATTTTTTTATAAGGGTTAAAATATCATTCTACTAAAAAATATTATTAAATAAGATAGTATATTGTAAAACTATGACTAATTAATTTTTTTTATTTTTTATATAATTGAGGCATTGATAATAGCCAAAACAAATATTATTGTCAACATATAAAATTTTAAATATTTACTTTTGTGTTAGTTTTGTCTTCTTCTTTTTTTTTTTGGGTTATCAATGGTGCATATTTTTTTTAGCATTAAAAGATAAATTAATCAAACATGATAATATTTAATTTTTTTAATATTTTAGCCATGTACATTACATTAATCTAACATGAAAATATAAATAAAAATTTATTTTTTAAAATAATAAAATCATGCACCATTAACAACAAAAAAATATAGATAAAAATAATATAAACATAAATATTTAAAATTTTATATAGTGATAATAACTTTTTTTCTTTGTTATCAATGCCTCAACTATCCAAAAAAATATAAAAAATTAATTAGCTATAGTTTTATAATATAATGTCTTGTTTAATAACATTTTGTAGGTGAATGATATTTTAACCCTCATAAAAAAATAACATAATTAACAATAAGAGGTTTTGAAAAATAAAATTAAGGGTTAGGAGGTTAATTTTAAATTTTAAAAGTGAAGGGAGTTATATACAATTATTTTAAAATTTAGAGGGGTTTTATTCATTTTAGACCTTGATATATTGACATTAAAATTATTGATAATGAAAAACTTTGTGTAAAATATTAATAGGTAAAGACTTTTCTCAATTTTTTTACATTTTTTAGTAAATGAATTTTTTAGAGTGAGGAATATAGGTTGAGTTATACAAGTTGGATCGAATAACTGGTGATAAGGTCAATTTGGATTAGAAAAAAAATAATTCAAATAAAAATAACTTTTTTTTTAGCCCAAACCATTTAACTCAAAAATCATATGTGTTAATCCTGATGAGTTAGAATTAGTTTTTTAAACCATACTATTTTTATAAAATTAAAAAAAAAGGGAGAAATTTTGTCACCAAAGAAGAGTATATATCATATGAGACATGACTTATTTAATTGTCTCAAGTCATATATTTTATATAGATATCATGAGTTAATATTTTGGTACATGTAGGATGAATTATGAAGAAATATTATATTAAAATCCATTATTTAAGTGTATTTTTTTAAAATTCATTAAAAAAAGAAATATAAATATATATATATATATATATAGATTGACAAGATAGCCATTTAATCCATCAAAACTTAAAGATTGGATTGAGTTGAGATTTTTTCAACTTATATGAAAATTGGTTAAACTCAACCTAACTCATATTTTTTTCAACTCATATAAGCCAATTAATATAATTTAAATTGGCTCATATTTCTAACTGTAATTTTTATCATTTAACCCTTAACAATTATTGACATTGAAGGACCTTCTTTTAAAATATGTCCTTATTTGAGAATAATGAGAATAAATTTGGCGTGAGGTCTTTTTTAGCGATTCTCCCATAAATCATTGATAATGGAAGATTTTCTTTTGTTTTTTTTCTGGTTGAACATTAATGGAAGAATCAATTGCACTATCAATTTCCCATCTAAACTTTAGAAAACCGACTACAATACTTCAACATGACTTATGTGGTTCGGTTTCTGTCGATCGTTTACACGTAGTGGATCAATTTTATGTGTTCTCCGGGCGTGGCTTGCAAGGGACATTGTGGGATTGTCTAGGTTGTCACCTAAGCTTTTCACGTCTTCAGCAAAGGTCTTGAGGCTTTTTGGGCTTTGTTGTTGGACCAAGTGTGGTTAGGGTTTCCGGTTGGAGGGTCGGCCGTGTCTTCTGGTGCATTTTGCGTTTTTTCCCTTGAGTGCACAGCCTCTTTATTTCTTAAGCCTGCGTGTGCCTCAAGGAAAGAGTGTGTTCTCTTGTGGGAGTGGTTGTTAGTTGTTGCTTCTATCTGTACGCTTGTCGGTGTGTGATTTTCTTGGGCATCAAGTTGTTTTTCCCGCCCATTCGCTTTCCCGTCTTCTGCCACCAATCAATCAATTCTACCCCGCGTTTTCTCCCTTAATTGGCCCCTTCCATATTTGCAGATACTGTTCCAGATTTTCACTCAAGGTTTGTGCTCATTTGTGGGCTCTAAGTTTTGGTTTCCTTCTTAGTGTCATCAGTTATCCGTACTCATTCGTGGGCCCCAAGCTTCCGTTTCCATTCCCATCACGCCATAGCCTACACCAACTTCTAACTGCGCTAATGGTTTTTCCTTTCGCGCTTTCCAATTATGTCGCATATATCCGTTTGTGCAATCCATTTGTCGTCACCCCCACTCTACACCGCTCTCTAATCCTCATCTACGGCTAACGAGAGCGTCACCGATCATGACCCATTGCTCCCGCCTCCGATTACTCAGGAAAAGTTCTTCATTAAGCTTCCTTGCTATGATTTCGGTTGGAGCTGAAATGGGAAACCCAAATTTCAGACCATTGTTGGTCGTATCATGGCTAACATTCCTGGCTGGCCTATACCCCCACTGAGGTACGAATTACGATGATTTCTTCATTTGATGTTCGCTTTAATTTTTGGGTTTTTTTGTGAAACTTGGCTCTATTTCGTCTCAATTTGAATTTTGTTTCAATGATATTTGTATTCGCAAGTGATATCCGGTCTGAAAGCATGTCCTGCGAGACCTCTGTTTATGTTGGTCGCAAATAAGAGGAGAATTGAATTCATTTAACCGCTCACTTTCCCTTTGTGTAGGTTATATCCTTCAGCAATGCAGCTAAAGTGGATGACTGCCTTTTCAAGAATCCTATGTGTTGTCCAAGTGCTCTGCATTTCATTGAAAAACTGTGATTGTCATTGGCTATGGTGTGCAGACAAGTGATGCTTGCAGTGCATTGGGTGAATTTTTGCGTTCTATTTTGAGGTTTATCAGTTTTGAATTCTACTGGGTGATTGTGATATGAGTGTTACTTTCTTTTTGTACTTATAGCATGATGGATTGTTTTGCTTTGCTTTGTCTTCATTAAATTGCATAGGGAATTTTGACTTACATGGTTGATATGCAATGTCATTTTGGCTTTTAAGAAAAATGACCAAAAATCTTAAAACAGATTTAAGATTGAACTCTGAGGAAGCTGAACTTCACATATAATATCTATCTCTTCATCATTAACATTAACAATTAACAAATAGTATAATGTCACATTCGGGCATAAATATTGGGCTATATACATGCAAAAGTACATCCAGAAAAATATAGTTTCATGTCAAGAACTAGAACCTAATCATATTTTCAATTTTTATACACATAGACCTCAGTTGGTGATCATAATAAAAAATTCTTATTTTGTTTATATCAGTAGCAACCTATTCACAAAGCATTAGTAGCACAAGACCACATCCAGTTAAGTTTCATTACCTTCAGTTGCAATAGTTTCAAGGGAAGGTCCAGCAGAGCACAAAAGATACGATTTCCTTACCCAGTACTCTGTTTGCATACTCCATGTAGTCCAAATCGATTTTTTTTACATATGCCTGGATAATTCAGAAGAAATGTCAAGTTGTCAACGAAGATTTAGATTAATATGCTCCTAGAAGTCCCTATTGGGTCTAAGACACATAGTATAGGACATTCAGTAGTGAAAAAGGAGAGATGGTAGAAACTTGAAAGGTTAAAGGGCTTTAAGATGTTTCTATTTTGATATTTTGATGCTACTAAGTTTGCATCAAAGGATTCCTGGAACTGAACACAACAGTCCCCAGCAATGGAAAATCTGTCTGGAAAGTTGTAATGTATTTGTACTTGAAAGTTGATTGGATAAACTTGAAGTCTTCTATCTCTTAAAGAACAAGGTGAGACAATTATGCTTACTTTCTATCCCCTTCTTTCGTCTCCCACAATATTAGCTATTTTAGTCCTTTGGTTATGTATGGCGGAATCATTGAAGATGTTGTATTGTTGATTATTTTGAATAAAGATACGTTGTGGTTACTGGTTGATGTTTTTTTTTTTTTTTGGGTATTGATTCCTAAACAATTTTGACGGCAATCGAGCATTAATTTAGTCTCAAAAAGTCTACTGATATGATGATATCAATTGAGTCTTTCACCAAAAGGGGGAAAAAAAACTTCTGATGGCATCAGTTTAGACCTAAGAATAAAGTAATGTACTCTTTATAATATCAACATATGGTATTACAGTTTCAAATACCAAAGTAATGTTTTTTTAAGATTAGATGGTCTCATGGACCAGATGATCTTGATTCCAAAGAACCAACCACGATACCAATTCACTCTATGGAAAAATAACCTGTTAAAAACTATAACAAATAATAACAAATTAATAGAACTGTCTAAACCTCACTTCACTGAAAACAAGATCAGCAACAAAAATGCTCTATTTACATAGTCCATAACTTGGTGCTGCCTTTAGTAGATAGCTCTCAGCTCTTCATGCTTTCTCCATCATCCTCCTCTCTAGCTCTTCACATAAGCTCAGAAAATAATAGCAAAATAGGTTGTGTCATAACTTTGAAGCTTGTACGTATCTTTCCCAAACATATCTGAAGTGAAGTGGCGTTGAAGATGCGGTGAAGGTTTTTCTTTAGTCACACCTCTGTTCCTTAACCAAGTTTGGGTCTTTTATTAAGATCCAATGCTAAGATGATCTATGAGGTGCTTCTGGTAAGACTTAGTGAAGTTTTTCAGGTCTTCTTTGATTTTGTTAACTAATGTGTGCTGGATTTGGAAGCTACATTCCCTTTGAACAGTAGCTTATGTTTTATGTAAAAAAATAATGTGCAATTCCTATTATAATTTATTTTCCTACACTAAATCTGATCTTAATTGTCAACAAGTAGTGATGCAAAGTATTGTACCAAGTATATATTATCGCCTACTTTTTCTTCAATTTTCAATGGTTTATTTTCTTCTATTGTTAGTTTCTATAGCAATAGAAGACATATTCCCACTGATAAAACTTTGAATATTGGTGAATATAAATATTCATTTGAAATTTAGTGCTTGCTTTGGCTTATAGACTTCTTTTTTTGGAAGAGCATGGGAACTCTATCATAAAGCTGTGTCAAATTTTTTTATATCATCTGAGTTTTTTTTTTATTGATGTCTTCATCTTTTTTTTTCCTTTTTTGTTCCCTATCTCCTTCATAAAGCATTGAAATGATATAGGGATTACTGGAATTATTGGATGATTGGTGTTATTAGCTTTTTTATTTTTTGAGACAGGATAGTAAATACTGTTTGCCTTAATTGAAACTTTTTGCAATCTATCTCTTCCATCGATATTATTTCTGGAAAGTTTGCGTTTTCTAGCTTGCTCTAGTCTCTGCTTTGAATTTGATTGAGGGTGATGAGAGAGTGGTAAGGAAAAATGTCAGCGATGGCCTTGCACACAAAGCAAATTGCTGAACCTGCCATAGAATCCATTGGGCTGGGATACGATCTCAAAATTGATCTCAAGCTCAAATTCTGCAAGAGCAATTTTCCTGACCCAAGATTAATTGCTATAGACAATGACCAAGTTCGGATCATTAAGCTCCCAAATGGAATTTCAATCTCAAACGTCCCCAGATAAATTAAATGTGATAAAGGGGAGCACATTAGATTATGCTCCCATGTCCTATCTCTTCAACAAGTACCTTTTAATTTGAAAACATGTTCTTTAATATTTTTTTCCGTCTCATTTTAATTGTAAGATTGAGTCATTTGAAAAACACTAAACGGTCTAATTGATAAGAACAGCAAATGTAACGGGGGAAATTATTTCATTAGTACAGTTTTGCTTTGGGCATTAAGATTTTCTGCATTTCTCAAACGCAATTTTTTTCATTCTCATTCTCCCTTAATTTCTTGCTATTCTAGCTATTTAATATAGTAGTGTGACCACTTCGATGGATGCAAGGCTTCTGGAAGAGACCCTTTCGCCCTACAAGCAATCCTCAGGGTGTCATCCAGATGGGTCTTGCAGAAAATCAGGTTTACATGTAACCTTCCAGAAATTCTATGTATATGTCACTATGATCTAAAGGGTTTGGTAAGCTTACTGACTCATATATATGGGTTCATTTTCATTTGTTTCCTCGGCTCTGTTTTGATCTGATAGAAGAATGGATGAGGAGGCATCCGGAGGCTTCCATTCGCACTCCTGAATGACTACATCACTTCAGAGATATTGCTATCTTTCAGGACTATCATGGACTTTCCCAGTTCAAAAAGGTGTATATACAGCGATTATGGTTAGATATGTGGTACAACCTATATATGTGATACATGGTTGAATAAAATCAAAGTTGATAATAAGAAATGGGTTTGCTTTCTGTTGATAGCAGGGTGTGGAAAAGGCTATGTCAAAAGTGAAAGGTGCAAGAGTGAATTTTGATGTAGATAGATTAGTGATGATTGGAGGGGCCACAGGGGCTACTAAAGTAATGTTCTGTTTGGCTGATCCTGGAGATGCTTTTCTTATTCCAGCACCTTTATTATCCAGCGTATGTATCCCATCCATAGCTCTAGAGTAGTTGCTATGTTCATTAGGAGTACCATCTTCATTGTTCTGCCAAGATTCAAAGTGGAAAATAAATTAAAGCAGCTTGCTGAACTGCTATAGAATAAGTCTTTTTTTTAGAGAATTGTATGAAAAAAAGACTTCTGTTTTCATTCACATATGGGGTAATTTTTTTGTTAGTAAACTACGAGAGTAATTTGAAAAGTTCTATCAGAGGAGTTAAAAAAATGTGAATTTTTTGCAATATACATCTAGATCATCAGACTTGGGTGCATGCGTGTATGTGATTTATATGATAACAGACTATGTGTTATTGTCAACAAGATTACTATACACAGTTATTTTATTATTGTTAAAGATTCTCTTAATCATGATATCAGTGAACGTAATGATAAAGACATAAATTGTTTGATATGTTTAAGCTTCTTTTTCTATATGTTGATTTTTAATTGTATTCGTTCTAATTGTGGAAGATTGGGTTAGATATAATTCATTGTTTGAGAGTGAGAGTATCTGAAAATAAACCACGGCACGGAGGTTGCTGATAAAAAGTGTGATTCTTGGCTTATGTTTTCAATTTTCATGCTGTTTGAGCATAGCTGTACTTTTGTGAGATTGTTCATTTCAGTTAGAAGGAGCACCTTCCGCAACAGCTAATATCGGTAATACCTGAAATTTATTTGTAGTTTGAGCGGTTATGTTTTTACTAAATGATGATTTAAGATTCTTTATTTGTTATGATTATTTTTATCTCAAGCGCCTAATTTATACATATGATGGATTGATTAGTATTGCTTTACAATGATTTTCACTATGTTTTATTGTAACTAATCTCATTTGCTTGGAGTATAAATGTTGTGCTCCTCCTCCTAAAAATTTGTAGCATCTATATTTGGCTTATCTAAAATTTGTTAAATTGATTTGTTGACTAAGAATTATGTTGTTATACTCATATTATCAAAAAGGCAATGAGATACATTTTTTTTTTTATTTATGAGACTATGTTATCATATTTATTTTAAAAAATAGTTAACAATAGATTTTTTATGTTTGGTTTATAATTTTTCATACATCAATTTTTCCAATTTCTTTTTTCAATTATTATTATCTTTTAAAGTTATGATGCTAATTTTCAAAATAAAAGAATGTTCAGTAAATATATATATATATATATATATAATAGTTTTATAGCAATAAACAATTATAATCTTATAGAACATGATTAATTATTGACTAAAAATTATAATATAAATTATGTTACTAAGAGAAATTAATAAATGTTTTGAATTTACAAAATGTAAATTTAGTTTTGAAACTGCTTTTTTTTTATAAAAAATTAGAGGTACTTTTTTCATAACATTAAATTACAAAACAACATCATTCTTTTTATTTGTTTTTATAATTCTAACATTTCACTAAATAATTATAGTCCAAAAATAGTAAATAACTCAATTTTATTAATGAAATAAGATATTGATAATTAGAATTTCTCCTGTAAATGTAATTAGTTTGGTCGGATGTAAGTAAATTTACACATAAAAGACCTACAGATCAGTATCTTTAGGCTTTTTGTAATAAGACATCTTCAAGAATGATTAATATTATATTTCAAGGGATATTTGAGTACATTAAAAATAGGGTATAGTTCTTTTTATATTACACCCTACACTGAATATTTGCCTAAATATTTGCTCATGCTTTGTATTTTCACTTCTAAATTAATTATGATTATGTCATTCACAATTATCGTTTGTTTAATTGGTTGCCAATTAATGCAATTCAACTAAATACCACAATTAGTTAAAAAAAAAAACTAAGTGACATGTTAATGCTGTTATTGATATCAAATATATAATATGAAAAACAATGATGCTGTACAGTGTAATTTTTTCTATGAGAAAGTAATTTTGAATACATGCATAAAATAATTTAGTTAGATGATATGGTGCTCGTGCATCGCACGGGGTGGAATACTAGCTATAGTTAAAAAGAAGTTCAATGCTACTAATGAAACTTCAGTATTGTAAATAGCAAACTGGCAAATAGATATCAAAGTCATGTCATGAATGCCAATCTGGAACAGTCAAAAACCAGTAAACGGATCAATATAAAAAATCTTGCAAAATGTTTGAAACCTTCAAAAATTGGAAAATCTTGAAAAATTGGCTAAGCTATTTTGTCTGATTGGTTCGAAGCTTTTCATGTTTCATTGTTTTGGGAAAAAGTAGGCAATAGAAAATAGCATAATTGTTTACTAAATCTTTTCTTCCTGTATTCTAGTACTATGAAAATTTGACAAAAACTCCTTCCAAAATATGCAATGAATTAAAATCTTGTCAAAAATCATTATTTTTTTAAAATTTTTAGTGACTTTTCGGATACTAATAATTTGTAGTAAAATGATTAAAATACTTAGTTTAAAACAAAAAAAAAAAGTAATAGCTCTGAAATGATTATTTTTCTTTAATAATAACTAGAATGAAATAAACAATTATAACTTTGCATATGCAAATTTTTTATTCACTAATGTTTAAATGCTATAAATATTTATAGCTATTTTAATTTAAGGAATGGCTATATTTTTTTTCAAGTAATGACTAAAACAAAACAATAAATTATTTAGTTTAAACAGGAGGTATTTTAGTCATTTTATTAAAAAATATTAATGTCAGAAAGGTCTTTAAAGGCTTGAAAACAATTATAGCATTTTGTAAAGTCACCTTTACTAAATTCTCATTAACACCAAATTAAGGTAACTATTGAAACTAACCCAATTGGGTTACTAAGTTTATAATATTTGTATAAATAAAATCCCAAGTTTCATAATTAGAAAAACACTTGAATATCATTTAGTAAACTAAAATTAGAGGAAAATATATTATGGAAACATGGGATATCAAAACAATTCAAAGCATGTGCATTTTTGTTGAAAACAACATAGCAAAGTAAAAATAGGAAGTGTGTTGTGGCATATGCTATGTGCACTATGACACTCCATGTTGTGCCATGCTATGCGAAGTCAGGATCTAGAGTCAGAGAATGTGAGACAACTCAATTTAAAAATTAATACTTCAAAAAATATTATAATAATTTTAAAAAATTACATTAGCAAAAAAATATAATAACATAAGTAAAGTTATAAGTATTTTTATTTGGAAAAAATATACTGAGAATTTGTGTGGGCAAAAAAATATATTGAGAAAGCTAATATAGAGTTTAATTTAAAAAAAAAGAAAAAAGAAAACTATTACCTAAAAGAATGACTTTAATTTGTTGTGCTTATATTTTATTATAAAATAAACAACCCGTGATTCATTTTTTTTAATAATATGTCTAATGAGTATAAATTTTTTAGTTTAAATTTATGGAACATGAGTTAAAATATCATTTATTTAAGAAGTTTTTGAACCCAAATATGCTTTATTAAGTCTAGAGGGTTCACAATTCTAAAACTAAAGGGTGCACAATGATATTTTTATATACCATCTATGTAATTTTCCATGTGATGTGCAAGGCAAAGCCGTGACACATTGCACAACTTAATAGCTTCCACTACTTTCATTTGACAACAATAGAGGTGGATTTTCAGTGCGCCTAATTTCTCTGTCTAATGTCCAATTAAGACAATCTAATTGTCTACATTAAGCTGTTTTCAAATACTAACTAACAACATGAGTTTTACTCCCAAACAATTTCACACAGAGAATTTGGGCGCCAAAACACATTTCACCCATTTCACACTTTTCACAACATAATGGTGTTCAAAACCCAAACACGTGCCAAAACTACAATTAACTCCTATACCATACTCCATAAACATAAGTCAACCTGTTCAACACACCACATACATACAATAACAATCAAATCTCATTTTCAAGCCTTAACCTCTCAATATAAAAAATAATGGGGGAGGTCAAGCATTTGCATTAAATCAATATTCATGTAAAATAAGCAATATATTTCATCATTATATTTGTACTAGTATTTTGGCCTATAAAAACCAACACATGACATGCGTATAACCTTAGGATCCAAAATACAACAACATTAATCATGCAATAAATTAGTGCAAGTATAAATTCAATCATGACCCTAATTGGCAATATGTTAAGTTACACATAAACCAATGAGAATGGAGGAATTACAATAGGAATGACTAATTCCTAAACCTTTGAAGCCTTTCCTTTTTTGATGCCTTAGTTAGAGCCTGTAAAATGTTAAGATAGAGAAGTAAATACAACTACTTAGTAATCAAAATACATCAATCCTATGTAATTGTTTATTAATAACAATAAAATATGGCAATACCTCAAACATGTACAAGTGTTATCTTACAATGAAATTAACATCTAAACACAATAAAGCTCAGGTAATCATATTATTTCATTCCACAAACATTACATAGTGTGAATTGCCACATTAATAACATACATGTGACAATAGCAAATGATATATCATAACTTATTATAAACTTAACAACCATGTAACATGTTAGATAAGAATGCATGATCTAATCATCCTTATAATCTCCTTATACCTTCCGATTGAAACTATGAATTGTTATTCAGTTAGGTTTCTATCCGTGTGAATGGACTACCCAAGCTCACCAATTATAAGGAGTGACCAAGCTAAAAATTATTGCACTCATTCTCAAACCACAACTTCCCCATTCTCAAATCCCAGAGGTTTCATAAAACCCTAAGCTAATCTCTTAAATAAATTGGTGGAGTTAGTTAAGTTCAAATTCCTTGATAAATAATGGGACAGTCTCTTAATAAACAGTGAGATAGGGCTTGCCCCTTGATTCCAACGGTTAGTAGCTAGTACCACGTGGATTTTTATATACTCCTCTTTCTAGAAGAACTCCTGCCAAAAGATCATGTTATAACTTATGCTCACATAATTCACATTTCACATACATAGATGTAAGCTTATTGATTCATGCATTAAGCAATCATATGTGAGCAACACTATCATTCTCACTTCTATTTACCATCTTATATCAAAATCTAGTATTTTTCACTTACTTGTGTATTGCATTAGAAAGCCAATACAATGATGCAATCATTTTATCAATTTTTGAACTTCCTAGTTCAACACATATTCATAGCATACACACATCTCATATTCAAACTTTACATTAGTAACCAAATCGAGTTAAACACGACTTCACATAATTTGACACATATTTAACATCATGAAATTCAATCATCTATTTTTGAAAAGGTAAATCAATTAATAGACAACTACACAAAAAAAATATTTCCTTATTACTTCAAACCTGAGTGGTCATTTGTTTATCCCTCAATAATTTGCTTTCAAGCTCATTTTCAAACTCAAATAGGTGCATGGATGATTAATCTACAATTAATTGTATCCAAAACCATTAATACCATCATTTACACAATTTCAATTTCAATTTCAAGCTTATCTATTGGGTTTATTAACTTCTACCAACCTTAACCCACTTCATTAAATTCTCTTAAGATGATTAATGCCACCCAACAACTTTTAAAACTTATATTTAATGCCTTAATTTTCAAACGCAAATGAGGCTTACTAACTAAAAATGTGTAAACCCATAAATCTTATGTTCAAATTCCTCAAACAACTCTCATTAACTCCATTTAAGTTAATAGGTTCAGACATATAATCTCTATGGTTTGAAAATCAACTCTCTACTACAAAACCTAGTTTTAAAATAGTGTAGAGTGGAAGGGGAAGGATGGAAAAGACCTACCTTAATAACTAGGAGCTTTAAGTCCTCTTAAACTCTTCTCAATCTTGTGCCCTAGTAGAGTATGACTTGTGCTCTTCCTTTCCCTTCCTTTTTCTTCTTTTGTTTTTCAAATAATGAATAATTTGATTTATTAAAAAATTTGACCAAGCACCACAGTGCATGCATCCTGTGCTGTGGTGTATGGCACAGAGAAGGACTACTTCACTTTATGTAATATTTTATGGCTTGTGCAATATATGCTATAATGCATGATATAGCAAAAAGACCCATGAGTTCTCTTCCCCCTTTAAAGCCCCGATGGCCTAAATTTCACTTTGGACTTGATCCTCAAGTTGCAACCACATGACAACAAGGCCTATTAACCTTATCTAACCATCCTCTAACTCAGTTCTACTAACTTAAACTTGATTATCCTTAATTAAATTAACTAAAAGGTTAAAATTTGAGATGTTACACATTTTGTGGGACATCATTGCTATTTGCATATTTCAAGAATATTTTGCTGTCATTTTCCTTAATATTATAGGAGCATTATTTTTGCTTTGTACATAATTATTAATAATTGTATATTTGCCTAGTGGATCCTTTTTTTTTTTTTGCCAACTACCTAAGGGAATGGATAATATAGTAATTGATTTGTAATTAACTATTTTGAGTTTGGTATTTAAATATTAATATTAAATATTTTTAAATGAATATTATGTTGGAATTAGGCAATAATATCCCCTTTAATTTTCTATATAATGATTAAATATATGAAATAAAAAATTTAATAATCATATTACTATCTTTTTTTATAAGATTGAAATAACGTTTTAAGTGTTTGCAAAAAAAAAAACAGAGAGAATCACATCCAAAGATCGCTCAAGTAAATTATCCACAAACAAGAACTAACAATAAGTGTCATTCTAAAAAAAAGTCACATTCATATGTTAACAACAATCCATATTGTATTGGTCTTTGTCTGTGAATAATTTCCTTAAATGGTCTTTGGATGTAATTCTCCTAAAAAAAAACTAGTGTTTTGATTGATTTAATAGTTGGTTATTTTGTTATCAAAACATTGGTCCTAAATTCTTAACTCACAAGTAAATTTATACATATCAAAATTGGCTTGAATCCATAGTCAATATTCATAAGTTTTCCCACACTCAACATTGAGATAAACCTTTTTAAAAGAAAAAAAATTGTTATTAGCATATCATTGATTCATAAAACATAACTTCTTTATTTGCCGGCACTCAAACTACATAACTTAACAAATAGGACAATCTAAGGTATATGAATTGTACATTTTAAGCATATCAAATATTAAGCTTTTTACTTATCTATTTGATTGATATCTCATATTCATGCATGTTTTATTTTTTGTTGCCCAAAAGTCAATTTATTCAAAAGGTTATTTGGCAAAGGTCATTTATTATATCAAAATTTGTATTTGAATACATTCTTTTTCAAAATTCAATTTGGTAAATTAAAAATTGTTTAAATTATATATATAATAAAAAATATTTTTGAGTGTATAATTACCAAAATGAATATTGATTTATGATTATTTGTAATCTTTTCAAACCCTAGTGCTTGCTACTCATTGGCACCAAAATGACCTCAAAATCAATATTCAAATACTACCAAAATGAAGAGGAACACTACAACAAATCTGACTATAGAGGACAATTATTTTTCCCAATAAAGGACATTTGTCAACCATTTTTAGTTGACTATCCTCTATTGCTTAAGCTATATAGGATGGTTATTAAATGTAACATCTCAAGTTTTCAAATTGGAAATTATTAGTATTTATAAGGGTATTTTGGTCAAATTAGATGAATTATTGATTAATAACATTTATGGAAGGCTAATATAGTTTTTGAATTTTTGGATAGCCTTATAAGAAGGCTAGGTCAAAATTCGAGCAGGCCATGGCATGAAGGAAGGTTTACATTGATAAGAGACTCTTTGTGTCATATGCCACAGCAAACATGTAGTGCACATATAAAATCTACATTTTATTAGTTGCAAAACAGACTTGAAATTAAATAAGAGGAAGAGAGAAATGAAAGATAGCAACGCAGGGAGCTCGTGGTCTACTAAGGCTTGACACTATGAGAGATTTGGAGGCATTTAAAGCTTGAATCATTATTGGGTAAACTTCCCTTTCTTTCCCCTCTTCATTTTATGTGAAAATTTTGACTTTTGGGGTAATGTGAGCTTAGATCTTGATTTTTTTGAGTTTAGACTGAATCCATTAACTTATTTAAAGTCTTAAGGAGTTAAATCAAGTCTCTAACCCTAAGTTTATGAGTTTTATAGTGATTTAAAATTTTTGTTAAGGGTTTGAACGAACCCTGAGCATAATTTGAGAATTTTTAGACAATATGGATAATTGAATGGTAATTTTGATATGTTGGAATATTTAATAAGATGGTTAGAGTGTTTAAAAATGGTTGATATTGTTAAATAAGAAATTTGAGTATTATGAGTACCTAAAACCTAGTGAATTCGGGGTTTATCTAGAGTGATAATTGACAATTGTCACTTGATTGTGTAGATTGAGTATTGCTCAAGCTTTATCGTGCATATAGAACATGTGGCGCTAACGTTGAACCATGGTAAGCATTTTGTAATAAAAGATTGAGGTAACAAAATAATTTACACTATTTGATTATATTGCTTAACTATTTGTGAGTAGATATGTATGTTTGCTACTTGTGATTTGATAACATTGTATATTACAAAACATGACTTTGTGCATGTGAAATGATTTTGAAATGGTGAAGTTTTATGAAAGTTTTATATTATTATAGCAAGAATTGGATATGTATATAAGTTTGGTATGAGATGTATGAGCATGATCATATTAGGGGATGGGAGTTCACCTGTAAGAAAGAGTAGTGAAAATCCATATGGCATGTATCTTCTTAGTGCTAGTGAGGCATGGTATTGGAGATTTTTTCCTTATTATCCATGCGAGATACGCCATTAGAAAGTGACGCTCTTTAGTATCAGTGATGCGGTGTTGGAGTAATGACACCCTGATTTGTGTGTGATAGGGAGAGACCATAGTTTAAAAGTGTGATAGGATACTTTTAACCTGGTGATCCTACCACTAAAGGTGAGTTCAAACTATTATAAATGTGTACTGGGTTCAAGAGTCTATGATTTCAGTTGGGGTGACATAGAGGCTCGGATAGTAGAATGATTATGCTAGCAGTAAATGACTTGTATTTATGGAAAGGATTTATTGAATATGCTAGAGTGGAAATGAATATTTATTATGAAAAAGACTATCTTAAATTATGCTAAAAGTATGTTTTTGGAGTATAAAAGCTTTACTCCCATATGGTTGTACATGTTAATTAATAATAGTGAATTATTCTATTATTGAGATGTTTATCTCACTTCGTGATTATATTTTACAGGTGAGGGCTTTGGTAGGGACAAAGGGAAGGAAGGGACACCCAAAGAGTGAAGAGCTCATTTGTATAGCTCTTCTCCTTATCATTTTGTTTTGTAATGAATATGCCATAAATATTATGCTAACTTAGGAATATGACATTGTTTTGTTATCACTTGTATGAGAATATGTGAAATGGGTGTGTATCTTGGCTTAAGATTGATGCTATTGTGATTGAATGAGTGTGTTCAGCGAAGATATAATTACAAGTGATAATTGTGTTGATTTATGTGTGAAAATAACCAAAACAATATTTATGTGGAGTTTTATTCATCCATTTGTGTTGTTGTGAATTGGGAAGTTGGTGGTCATTTTGAATATGTTTGATTATTTGTGTGATATGAATAGCTAAGTGTGTTGCGTGTGGTCCATTTGAGGTGATCAAAGTGATTTCGCAGCTAATGCCATTTGGTTGTGATTTGGACACCCTTGAAAGTGTTTTGAGGTGAAAACAAACCATTTTAGATTTTCGTGTCCATCTTTTTAATAGGTGATTATTTGAGTATAAGACCGATGCTATTAGCTAGAGGGCTTGAAGAGCTTCATGTGGATACTTGAACCGCTCAAAGCAAACGTCGGATGGTGAAACAGCATAATCTAGAATTTCAAAGTGCTATCATGACAGCAATCTGATGTATGACAATTGGTACACGCTGCGGCGCATAGCAATTGTGCCACAATGCAAATGCTTGCTGAGGGACTCGTTCCTCTATGTCATCCGCTGCAGCGGATTGGCCAAATTTTGAAAAATTTTCAAATTTTATTAGCTTGTTTTTAAGTGTTATTTAATTTTCATACTTCCATTATGTTATTAGATTGATTTTAGACTATAGTTTGAACCCAAATAATATTTAAACATGGTTTTCTTGGGATCTCATTATTTTAAACCAATTAATTTTAAATCCTTAGGTTGTGATAACTTTTACTTAGGATTTTATTTAATCCTAGTTATCACAATGGCATGTATGTGTGTTGTCATAGTAATGTCAAGGTAAAGATTACATTAAACCATCTTATATTGAAGATAATATAGGATAATTGTTAAATAACTGTTCTATATAAAGTTTCAAATTTAGACCAAATCTGAAACTAAAGAGATCTTATAAGATGGTTATATGTATAACCATCCTATAAAGCCAGTTTTTTTTTAAATAGGTTGCAATACAAAAATAGATATGTTCAAAAATATTCTAGAGCAACCCAAAAAATCATATCTACACTACTCAATTCAAAATTATAATGTTTACAATTTAATTACATTAAAATTATTATATTTAAAATTCAATTATATAAATCAATTAATTTGAACTAGAATACCAATCCCTAAAATATTTAAACTATATATTGACAACTAAACTAATCTATTCCTAAACTAACTATATATTGGGTATTGGATGTGACCCACTTTTTATATGCATATTCTACTCCAATCTTCAAGGGATTCATTAATATGGGTATCCTCGAAATGAGGTGTAGCATAATTTGGATAATATTACAACATACATGACAATGAAGTTAGTTGATGACAATTAATATTCATTACAATATAGAAAATAATTTATACAAAATGATAGATATGGTAAGAGGGATTGTAGGCTACCCGTGAGTGATGATGTCTTTAGCGCACATCATCACATAGTAGTCGCAATCATGATTGTTGCCAATTTGTCAAGGGCACTATATGAAGAAAATGATATATATATATATATATATATGTTATTGATATAAAAAATGAAAACAATTGAGTAATTAGTGATAATTTAAACATACCCTTATTGCATTCTATTCAATGTCATCCTTATATTCCTTGAAGAACCTATTATTCAAAAGATTTGCATCGATATGATATAGTACAATAGCCTTAATATAAGGAAGACAAAAATGTTATAAAGGTAGAATTTTGAAAACAAATAAAATATTAGTTACTAAATGTACTTATATATTGAATAGCTTCATCATATCCAATCGGTTAGTTGGATCCCCATCATGAGGAGTTGAATATAAATAGTACACCTTTAAAGCTTTAGGATTTGTTAACTCAATCACGATAAGCATCTAGTATCCTTTAGGAGAATTGGATGATATGTGTTGCAATTAGAATTTGAAAAAGACAATAAATTGCAATCAAGGCATTAGAAAACCAAGTAAATCACTCATTCAGAGAAGGAATCAAAAACATCTCTTCGAAGTTGATCTTTCCTTGAAGTACATAGTCAGTGTTTGTGATTGCTATTGTAAACACTTGTCCTTCTGACCAGCTTTAAAACTTAGGAACTCATAGGGATTGACAAACACAAACCTCAATCCCAAGTTGCCAAGGATGATGAAGTTATCGTATAAGTACCTGGATGAAGAAATTGGCAGAAGTAAATATGAATAAAAACAATAGCTAGAAATATGAATAGGAAGGGTAATTAAGTACCTTATATATTTATTGACTGATTTGTGGACGACCTCATTATACATCAGGACGATATTGACAATGTCAAAGTTAATGATCTCACCAACCTCTTTTTGATACATGTTGTCATTCAACAGTACGAACTATGCCATTGTGTTCTTGGCCAATATCGCATACTTTGCTAGCATGTTTTGATTTGTCTTTGGCAAAGGAGGAGGAACATCCACTGGCATTGGCTTTAAGGGTGGTTATTTCTTGGTCTTCGATAGTTGATCTGATTGTTGAGGGGCTCATTCCCTTTGGACTAGGTACCAATTAATATCAATTATTAGAATTTGAATTAATAGAGTGTAAATTAATGGCATACCTATGGTGGAGTTTCTTCTATTCCCAACCAAACAAGATGCTTGGGCCACACAATATAAGAGCCAACTGTATCTTCTATAATTTTTAACTCATAGTTTTATTTAAGCATCTTGTAATTGACATTATTAGGCTTAATAATCAACTCTTTCACATAACCCTCAAGCACGGTCTCATAGTGAACCTGTTGCCCATGGATATTGTACATTTTTCTCATCGCAACTCTATGTCTACCTAGGCTATCTGTCTAGAATGTACACTCAGCCTCACCCTAAACATAAAGAAGTGTAAGTTAATAACAAAATAATAATTGTTAATTATAATCAAGAAAGTAAAATAATTCAAATACCTTAGGGAGGTGATGAGGAGAAGGCTGAAGCACAATGTAGCTATCTTTTTTAACATGGACAGTCTTCAAGGTTAACTTTCAAAGTTAATGGTTCTTCATCATTATTGCTATAACTTCTTCATGTTGTACTACTCATACTTTTTGTAACATCCAAAAAAATTAACTGTGATTAGTTAATCCAATTATTTTAATTAGTGAGTTAATGAAATGTGTGGCTAGAAGGGCTTAACTTGGTGTAATTATGGTGATTTTAGCCTTAGAAGTAGGTTTGAATTGATAGCGGGCTACCCGGGCAAGGAAATAGGAAGAAAAAATAAAGATTTATTCTCTGTGCCACATGCCATGATGCATGGTTAGTCCGCCGCAACACATAGAGACATATTTGAATGTAACGGGCTCCTTTGTGTCATATGTCACAGTGAAGGGCAGCGTGCGGCATGGCACACGGCCAAAAATCTGATATATCATATTCATAACAGCGCAAGAAAAACAGAGAAGAGGGAGAGAAAATTGAAGACCACAACTTTATCTCTACTAGGGCTTGTAGTTAGAGCATATTAGTGAACAAATTAAAGCTCCCAAACACCCAAGGTAAATAATATAAGCCTTATTTTTCCTTTCTCTCCCTCATTTATGATGACTTATAGTAAGGTTTAAGTTGAAAGGTTGAAATTCAATCCATAGGGGTATGGGTCTAATTTCATTGACTGAAATAGGTATAATGAGAGTTGTTTAAGGTATTGGAACATCGAATTAATAATTTTTGAAGTGGTTAGTCTATGGGAACATTTAATATCCAAAAATTAACATAAATATGATAGTTGGGAGAGGTTTATGTGCATTAATAATGATTTGAAATATTATTAATGATAATGTGTATTAATGAAACTTAAAGAGCCCATTTGCTATGAATGGGTAGTGAATTTTGGGTTGATAGAATAGTATGTGTGGAGCTATGTGTTAATAAATTCTCAAGATTGAGACAATGATGGTAATATTGTGCTATGATTGTAGTGTGATTCATTTTGTCACCATTCAAGCTTGAAAGAAACTTTGAAAGCTGATATTGTGAGGGGTAAACCTTTAACCTCTTAAAAATTTAAGGTAACCGGAAGAAATTTAACCTTTATTGTTGAATGTTAATTATGTTTGTGAAATGTGATTTATGATTTAAGTTAATGATGCATATTAGTAATGTATTTGAATTACAAAATGGTTTTGGAAAGGAAAATCTCAATTATGCCACCTTTGTGATGTGTGAACTTGATTTTGGTTTGTTGTGGTGGGTGGATCATTGTGATGAGAAATGTGGAGTTTGTAGAGTATTTGAGCATGTGTGAGTTTATGTGCTATGAATTGATTGTTTAAAATGCATATTATGTGAGAAATGTGTATAGCATGATCATTGGCGGGAGTTTGCCTAAGAAGAGGAGTAGATTGGTTTAAATCCATATGGTACTGGCAGTGACCATTGGAATTGGAAACTTACATTGGCACCGACCATTAGAATTAGGAGGTAGCCCTTGTTTCATAGTTGATTCAAAATTATCCCACTTGTTCTATGAGGGACTCGAATCTAACTAATCTCCATTGGTTCGTGAGGAGGCTAGATTAGGGGTACGACACCCCTTGGTTATTAGTATTAGGGGTAATCAGATTACATAAGTGAGTGAGTTCACCCTAGCTTGGTAGCTCCTCACAAGTGAAAGGTTGGGTTAGTCTATGAAGGATGTAGTCGCGTGATAGCCACCAGTTTCATTTTAGAGATAACAGGATGGTATAAGATTGACATATGATCATGCATATAAGACCAGCCACACAGTTGTTAGTTTTATGGTTTGGCACGTGTTAGGGGCGTATAATTGTTATTATTGTGACCTTGTGCTATGCTTCATAAAATATGATGTTACGTGTTATAGTCTTGGTCACATGATTATTAGTCTTACGAACCATGGCCAAGTGTTTATTTGAGATATCTATGTATTTTTCTAATTGCATCTATTTAGAATTGATATAAAACTGTATAGGTTAGGAGAAACTTGGTTACTGAGTAGTTGTACTCACCCTCAATTCTCAATATTTTCAAGACCTAATTTATTGAATCCGAATCGGGAAAAATACACAGAGGCTTAGGATTTTTGAGTAATCCTCTTTATGCCTCTTTTTGTTGTTTTCATGTGTATTTGTTAATGCAATTGTCAATTAGGATCATTTGACATGATTTATGCACTACTTACATGATTTTGTGCCTTGAGTTAGTGAATTTTGGTTGTAAGCCCATGGATAGAGCAAAAAATACTTGTGCAAGTAGAGACATATGTATTTTGAAAGATTTGGGATGAAATTAATGCATTTGTGCAACTTTGCTCCCCCTTTATGTTTTGAGAAAATCGAGGTTGAGTGATGATTTTATAATAAATATGTTTTTAGTTGTGTGTGATGCATTGCATAGGTTTGTTAAAGTCTATTGAGTGTGATTAGAAGGTCAATGTGAGCTATTTGGCACGTGTGGTTAAATTGGGACACCAATTTGAAAAATTTTATAAAAAAGTGGTCAAAATAGGTTTTGGTGTCTAAACTTTTTATAGAAAAAGAATTTGAGTGTGAAATTGGTGCCACTAGCTAGAGCTAGGAGAAAGCTCTGTGTAGATACTGAAACCACCTCAATCAAACGTCGAACAGAGATTTGAGATGTGTCGAAAGTTCACTCCTTGTGCTGTCAAATGATAGAACTGATGCTGTCAAATTTGTGCAATGCA